AATAACTTAGAAATGCAGGGCGAAGCAGAGCATGCAATTGGATTCCAGTCACGTGCCCCGAATGACACACTAATCACGTTCTTCAAGTGCAAAAAGATCAGAAGTAGGGGGCACGCTGGGTGGTGACATTAGCCGGGTCAGCAGCTGCATGTCACATTATCAAATTGCACGGACGCAAAATGCTTAGACAAGAAATCAAAATTCAATTACCCATGCATTGCTCGGTCCGGGCCCCAGCTGTTAGCCGTGGTGAGTTTCACCCGCACACTCACATGGTCGACCCTCTAGTGTGCGAAGAGAGTTTCCATCAAAACAAAGAAAGCCATGAGTTGGAAAAACTCGTTGAAACTGGGCACAAGACGGCAAAAAAAGAAATATACTACAGGCAACGAAAATGGGAGCTGAAACAAAAAAATACAGTCAATTTTGTATAGCGGGAACTCGTGCTAATCTAATGGGACTCGTTTGTATGTGATTGGTCCTGTAATAATAAGCGACACAAGCCAGATATTAAAAAATCAAATCCGTTGCTTGCCGTAAGGATATTATGACAGATTGTTGTGTTAGTTTAATTAGAAATGTCACACATGTTATTAAGCATTAAAGATTAAAAAAATGTAACTATACATGTTTCATTTATTGAAGTTAGACTGTGGTAAAAAACACATACCCCGAATGACTAAGCAAAGTTCGCGAATTCAACAAATGACAAAAGCCACGACAAGCAACAGAACTTGGAAACAGGGGGCTTTAGATGGTTGCCCCGTGGGCGGTGAAAGTGGAAAAGGGAACCGGGGGAAAGGGAGGCCCGGCAGGGCTAGAAAATGCTGCGGCGACAGCATCAACGGCGGAGAAAGTTGGGAAGGGGCCGCAAGTCAGGCAAGCGAGCAAGAAGCGTAAGCGTTTTGTGTCTCTGCGGTTGACGCGCATGTGTGTGTTCGCCGAGAAGTCTGCACGTGTGTGCGTGTGGGTGTGCTTGGGTGGGGGCGAAAATTACAGACTAACAAGTGGTCGTTGAATGGCAAACCAGCCAGGCAGACAGCCCCAGCCACGACAGTTGATTTGATTTGACAGCAAGACATGACATCTCGGGTTGCAAGGAGCGGAGCCCGAGGAGGCGCAGCTCGAGTGAGCTGGGGCCGAAGAAATGCCACGAGAGCGCGCTGCCAGGATCCGCTGCCGATGACTCTGACGTTGAGGCTGGAACTGCTGGCATAGTCTTCTTCTGCCGTTGGCAAAAGCAAGCATCCGCGAGGATTTACACAGAAAGAATTAAATGGTCTTACATCCTATATATAAATTAAGTTACTATCGTTCCGGCCAAAAAAACCCTAACCGAGGATCGTCCGTTTTAAAAATCATTATTAGAGTAAATTTAAATGTGACTTTTTTGTCAAATTTAATAAGCCTCGGCATTTTTATCTGTGTGACAGAACTCATATAATGAAGATGGATCTAAGCTGGGAAGGCGAGGATAGCATAACAATGGGAAGCGGACGCAGCACTCGGAAACGGAAATGAAAAGCAGGACACCCACAGCCAAAAGCCGCAGTCATCCCACAGGGACCATTTCACCACGAGGATGGGAAGTCAGTCCCCATTCGCAGTTCCATTGGCTCTTGGCCATAAAATATGCCAGAGAACATATGACGTCGCCATATATTTGGCATTTGAAAGCGTGCAATTGCATTTTGTCTAGGTGCCTGTGTGGGGAAACAGTGAGTTCTGAATGTCAGTGTCCGGTTGTCTAAAAATCAAATAAGGCTGGAAGACATACAGTCTCAAAAAACCGTGGGACCTTTAAGCTCTCTGCCTTCCGAATCAGTCCTTTATTTTAATTCAAGACATAAGTATTTGCAAAGAGCAACGGGCTGCTTAATGGCATCTGCATGCTTTTCGTACCCACTGTTGCGCTGCACGGCCTCGTGTCATATCAATACGCTGGCTTGTCTCCACTCACCTCTTTGTTTGTCTCGCTAGGTGCGCATTCCTCAGCCACTGTGGTTGTTGAAGGTGGTTCTATTGTAGTCCTGGACCCGCACGTGAGCAGGTGCCAGTTAGCGGTTAGGCGTGGTGGGTCGGTGGGCGTTGGGTAATGTGTTCCGCCTCGCTTTGGTTCGGTTCGGTGAGGTGATGCGGTTGGGGTGGTTGGGGGTAGCTTCAGGTGGTGGTGAGCGGTTGGCCTGCCAAAGGATAATGCCGTAGTTATAGTCTTAGGCCTGACTAGTCAGACTGTTAGCGCGTGCTGAAAAGTCGCTCTCGAGTGTTTTCACTTTCCATATGGTGTTGCACGTGCGCTCTGCTTGCCAAGTGCCACTTAAGCCAGAAAGAAAGGTGCGGCGGGGGAAAGGACCGCAGATAGCCGAAGTATCGCCGCGCGTTATGGCCTTGAATTGGTGTTGGCTAGAGGAAACAACGGGGAAGGGGATAAACACGGAGAAGACGTCCCATTGAGCCACTCAAAACGTTGGTTTTCTTAGCTATTTTTGCCCGTTGGTTTTTAGTTTACGTTGCTGTTGTCACCGTTTTGGCCGCATTTGCATGAAATTGAGTTGGGCAATTAAGTGCAGCGGACATATTTGCATAGCCTGCTTTTTGGGGCTTTCGCTGCCTGAATTATGCATGTACGGCACATTTGCTCGAAACCGTTAGAGGAAAGTGGCGCCGGCGTTGACATTTCGACAGCTGCGCGGCCGCAACGGGAACGAAAATTCGTTAGAGTGTAAGTACCAACTTCACTGACCTCTTAAATGCCTGTTTTATTTATGTTTAATTTTCTGATTATACCGACATCTTGTTTGTGTTGTGTTTGGCTTTGTTTAATAATGTTATAAATTATTTAAGCTCATAGCACGTTGCAGCACCAACACCACCGTAACTTCACGACTCTCCACGCGCTCTCTCACACACAAACACACGGACACAGAGACACGCACACCTATGCGAAACGTGGCGTAGGACGCGATTTTGGCGTATGTCCTGATGCCGTAATTTTCGAAGCACAGGCCCGGGCGTTTAGAACAGATTTTTTAAGATTACGCGACCCACAATAGGTGGTTAGGGTTTTAGCCCGCCAGCGAGCCCTATTTCACGGTTTAAGGCTGCTATTTGGTAATTTTTTGGATTTATTTTGATATCTCGCAGCGTGCAGTGTGCAAACCGTGTTGATTTGTTCGCACCTTGGCCATTCGTTACTGAGCCAACACACAGCGAGAGAGTTCCCACACGGAGAGAGAAAGAGTGTGTGGTTGAGAGAGAGAGAGAGTGGGAGAAAGCTGCGGGACTCGCTGCTTTCGCTCTCTGCTATGTGGTGAGTTCCCTTTAGCGGAGAGCGTGCGCACCATTTTGGCGCTAGGAATTCAAAAAAGGGGAACATTACTGTAAACAAAGAAATAAAACAAATCATACTAAATACGTGCGATGAGTTAAAACTTAATGGGTAATAACATTTAGGTGCCCTAGTTTTAGGTCCACATCAAACCCACAGGGGAGCCGCCAATGACGTAGCCTTCACCCACGGCCAATTCTTGCGCAACCCTAGTTCTCACACCTCCTTTCTCTCTCCTTGCTCTCTTTCGCTCAGCTGTGTCCTGTCTGTTGCCTTTCGCATGGAAATCTGTTGCATGAGCGCAATTTGTTATCCTCTTTATCTCAGCTGAGTGTCGTCCAAGTGTCAGTAGTGCTTCTCGCTACATAAATTACTCCACGGCTTCTTGAGCAATACCATAACGGTAACGGCAAGAGCAACAATAGCAACAGCACTAAAATTGAGCATATAAAAACAATAAAATTCCGTAAGGCCAAATCCCCAAAAGTAAAATACAAATGCAAAAACAAAGACAAACACAAACACAAAGCTGGCCCATAACAACAATAACAATCAAGCTGAAATAACAAACACACTGTGTAAGCCTAAGCAGGGGGGGGGAGAAAGGGGGGAATGTATGGAGGGGAATAACGGTTCGCAGGATTTACGTGACAGGACTGTTGCTCAGTCACCGCAGTTGTTGCTCTGGTTACACTGAACTATACAGAGTCAATTTCGATTTTCTGCACCCAGCATCATAAATTATTAATTTTAAAATGAGTTGAAAAAAACCTTTACTATATACAAAAAAATTATATTTGCTAAAAACATTTTAAAGATAATAATAAAAAAACATGGTTCGAAAATTAACACACCTAACGCTTTCATAATCAGTTAAAGGTCCAAAATAGAGACATTGGGTCATCATTTTAGTTATTAGGGATAGAAACGAAGGAAAAAACGCTAACCGAATATAACTTACAAGCTGTTACCAACATTAAAGCACAATTTTAAACTTCTTAAGTTCTGGGGAATATGCCATGACCATGTGCATACCTAATTAAATTCCTCAAGCTGTTTTATTCACTTTCCATATGAAATTGATTGAATTGAAACCAATTTTCCCATATGGTTCGAAGGTTTACTGCTTCCCAGGTTCCCACCTGGCGAGCAGCATCATCAAACCGATCCTAGCACATTCACCGCTGGAATCCTCAGACTTTCCTTTTACAAAGTGATTTTTATACTCCCAGCCGCACACAGTAAAGGTCTTGCTTTATTAGAATGAGTTTTACATGCATTACAGATTTTTTCTGCGTTAGAGCTCCAACCAAATTTGGTTGGAAGAGATTTCTGGAAGTACGCCGCCAATGAAGTTCTGGTCTCCCTATGGGGCGAATAGCTTCCGGCATATACATGACAGTTTTAGTGTAATAAATGCATTTCACGAAAAGCCTTTAGCTTTGTTATTAACGCAACAGTATAGCACACATTTTAAATTATGAAATTGTTACATTTCAGTGGTTAAATTATTGAGTGGCGCCACTTCGAGAATGACTGGCGCTTGATCAAGGGTTTTATTCACAAAATAATTTAAAATAACAAACTAAAAATGTACTGCAAACTTATATACCCCTCAATGAACTGGATTTTCCTGCAGGCTTTTGACTCCCCAAAAAAGGGGAAACTTCAAACGAAATCGAATTCAAACATTTTTCGAACTAAAATTACCCTAAAACTAAAACCAAGCACACACAAAAAATATTTGCCAATTAGAGCCCCGTGAGTGAAAGGTGAAAGCAATTTGTGGCCTCAAAGGTTAAGTGTTTGGCAAAGTCGAAGGGGGAAAGCAAAATGCAACAATCGAATTAATTGGCAGCCCGTATCGAACAATTGATGGCAAATGTAATTTCCAATATCATTAAGCCAGGTAAGCCAATTTAAGGCTACGGTAAAGAGAATGTGGTCCGTTTTTTCTAGCTCGCTTTGTGATATAAATGAAGGGAGTGTTACCCCTGCCTGCCGCAATTCAGAAACTTTGTCAACGTTTTTACCCCTAGCCAAAGTAAACTCAATTAACTTTTTGCCACTACAGTGCAACAATAAACAATTTTTTCACCTTCTGCCTGGGCCTGAGCGAGAATCGCAATTACGCAAGATAACAGTCAAGTGCAGATCTCCCCTCTTCCATTCATATATAAATGGCTTAGAAAATGTAAACTGTAAAGTAGAATGGTCGTTGTATTTGTCATGGCGGTCTGTGGCCCTAGCTTGAGTCACGGCCAGAGCTAGCCGACATTAACCAAGATTTGTTGCCGCTTATGGTGAGGCGTTTGTCAGGGCTTCTTGCTGCTTCTTTTAATTAAAAAAGTTCAAGTCGGATGCAATTAGCGGGAGCAGGGGCAAAACTGCAGGGCGACTCCTAAATTATGAGTGTTGTGTTTAAGTGAGAGTCTAAGCAAATGTTGGCAGAAAATTACTTCGGAAACTTGACGCCATTTTATTTTTTGCTACGAAGTTCCCATTGCACACATCACAATAAGCAAAAATATTTCCATATTTCGTTCAAATTTCAGCCGTGGCTCCATTTAAAATTGATGATGATAGCACATCTCAGACTTTCATAACAAATCAAGATGATCCGTAAGTTAGTCCAAAAACATCTAAGCTACAATGAAAGTGACTAATTTGTTGCTTGGTGTAAATAGTTGATAGACTTAGCAGGGACGAACATATTCAAATTGCAGCACTCAGAGAGTGTAGTTGACTCCGTGTCCTTTGTTCTAGTATGTAAAAAAGGGATAAATGCCATCAAGGATGAGCTCACAAACACACGCGTGTACCCACACTCCCGAAGAGGAAGACATTCTGAGTCTCACAACGTTGTCCGTTAAAATATGCAAAGCAAAGGAGCACGCATAAGACAGAGAACGGCGTAAGAGAGATATACTGGGACCGAGAGCCAACACCTATGCATAAATAATGAAAACACACACGGGGAAACACTCGTCCACGCGCACCCACTCCCACACCCACTCCAGCCGAGATCCGGATGCAATGTTTGCTGCTGACGGCTTACATGTTAAAAGCGTCAGTATAATAGCCAAAGTAATGGCAAAAGTGCAATTGTGAGTTCAAGTAAATAAAAACTATTCAAATATGCAAAACACAATGCAAAATGAAGAGCACGGAGTACAGCCGGGGGCCTTGGTGAATGTGTGTGTATCTCAAGTGCATAAATTTGCTTGTTAAATCCTGATTGATACTTCATCCTGGGATAGTAGTCCTCGCTCCATTGAGGCTCCTTTTCAGCAACTATGGATGGAAATAGTGAAGGGCCAAGGCATTGCGGAGGGACGAAAAAATATCCAGCTATTGCCGTCATATTTTACCCAAAGCGGAAGTCGAGCGTCGCTGTGCACGGAACTTGTTGTCCTTTGGGCCTGAACAGTCAGCGATTTGAGCTTTGCTCATTTCGTCCGGGGAGCGACCACTATTTCAAGTTGGTTGAAAAAGGTTTTGCCAGAATACTGTTTGCATTTATGGAATGCGTGTTTCTGTAGTATTTTAATGACGACTTACATGTGGACTAATTAATTTTTAAACATATTTCAAGAAATTATAAAAGCTATAGCAATTAATTATCCCCTAAGGCAAAATTGACTTTTTATTCATCTTAACAGTTAATTTAATTTAGTAATAAATATTTCAATAAATGCAGTCACTATTTAATATATGCTTTTAATGTAATTTTTTTGGGAATGTTATGGTATTGAATAGTTAGAGCTTAAATAGCATTAAGATTTTAGGACCGAGGCAAAGGCTTCACTTTGACTGCCGTCGATGGACATGAGGCTAACTCTGGAAAAAACGAACTCCCAACCGCGTGACAGTTGGGTTAACACATGGGAAACAAAGCAACAAAGATGGGTCCAGGTGAAAATTGATTAATTTTTCTAGCGCTCTTAAAGGCTTTGACAAAGCAACGAGGAAATTGAAACAGAAACTGAATTTGCAGTTGACAGCGATGTTCATGGAGGGGATTGGAAGCTGCAATAATTCTGCTGTGTTCTTAGGCACTCGCTGCCCAAAGCAGCTTAATGGCTCGAACAGCAACGCCTGTGAGCATCAAAGACACCGTTGTAGAGTACAAAAATCGATGAAAATCGTTCACTCCCCCTCACGTGAAAAGGGAGGAAGGTGATATTTGGAGAGGGTGAATGGAAAATGGTCGGCCTTAAAAAGCCACTAACGATGCTGCTCTCTTGTTGTTGGCATGGTTGGCGGTTCTGGCGAGGCGATGATAGGCATCATGCTATGATTATAAAGCAACATCAGTGCGGTAAAAAACCAGGCATAACATCTATGCATGCGTTGTTGTGTAATGTGTGTTTTTCGGTTTTTGCTTGTGCCTGTATTGGCACTTTCGCTGAAGCGCTTCAATTGAACATTTATTGACACACAAGAGCTGCAAAATTGAAAAATTCTGCACCACCAACAATTTCATATATCCTCATGATTACGACCTGAAAGCAAGCAGTTCCCCTATCTCTTGTATAGCTTTTACTCTTCGCACCCTTTCTGAGATTATATCCTTAAGTTTGTCAGACACGTAAGTGTAAACATGTTATATAAAAACAATCCTCAACACGATTCGACTAAAAGCAATTATAGAGGATTAATGTTAGGGAAAATTAAGGTACCTCTTAATTTTAATAAATATATTTGTATTTGTTTCTAAATTTATGTTCGTTGTTTTTTGTTATGAATTTTTTAATTAAGTAAATAACAACCCTTTAAAATTATTAATCATAGATTTTTGACTTTTTAGGGTGTTAAAAAAGTAGGTTTTAAAAAACATGTTCCATTTTTTAAGAGATCACACCTTTTGGGACTCATCATTGTCGCTATTGTAGTCGTTCTTCCCCTTCGCAGGCAATTTCCCCCGCGGTGGTATCCTGACGAGCGGAGCCGCTCAAAGGAGCGCTTTGTGCGTGGCCGGGTGAGCGTGTATTAGGACTCGAATTCAGTAGTTGGCGAGGACTTCGTTTTTATGTGTTATTGCATATTTCTGCTTTATAATGCAGGCTTGTGCCAGACCTTGTACGGGTCACGCCCCATAAGCCCACCAACGCCCTCGCTTATTATTGCCCGTTGAACCATAATGGGTTAATGGCAAATTGAAACGCGATTGAAAGGGGACCGAAGATGCTGCACACTTCACTTCGTGAGTCGCGTATGAAATTCGTAATTGAATTAAATTTAATGGCATATTTCAAATGCCTTTTGAGGTGGGTGTGGCACTCAACACATGTGAAAACATTTTCCTGCTGGTCTTTTGTCAGTGCTGTTAATTTGGTTGGGCCTGCACGAGAGTGCCGTAAAGTGCGATAAAATTCAATTTTATTGTAGAGTACCAAGGTGTCACGCGCTCGGCGGATATACAACGTTTTTGAAATTTCGCGGATTAACATTTATGTAATCTTGTTGGAAATTGTCAATTATTTTACTACCTTAAAATCACTGCCAAAGTGCTTTTCCTCAGACGTAGATATATTTTTATTTCATCTTGATTTTTAGGTTTCGAAACTTTTTGTTGCCAAGGTGCTTGGCATCCCAACCCAAACTCGAACTTGAAAGTTTCTTTCCATTATTTTCTCTGTGCATAATTGGAATAATATTTGATTAAAAACATTTTATTTCAATTACACAAAATGGCAGAGCAGAGCAGAAGCAAACTAAACACGCAGTGTACACTTGCCGGAGGCTCATTGTCCAACCGGAGCAACTGGAGAAACTCAGGCAGAAACAGAGGCCAGATCCAGGACCAGAAGCAGCTGGTCTGTTCGCTGGAGCTGAAGACGGAGCTGTGCAACTGTTACCCAGAAGCTGTTTAAAAATTAATGAAAGAGAAAAAACTTAGAAAAACAATGCGGGAAAAAGGACAATTAGCTGGGCAGTAGAATAAAGTTAAGCATTTAATGAAACCCAGACAAGTGTGAAATGATGAAATAATATCGCAAATAAGGCATGGGAAATTAAACAACTTTAGAAAAAGAGCGTTTATACCATCTCCTTAAAGTCAATTGAAAACTGCTTTCCAATCTAAGGGCTTGAAGTTATCCTACAGTTATATAATTAGTGACTTTATTAAACTCAAGAAAGTCTTAATTTTTACAATGTGCGCATATAATAATCTCAACACACTCCTGAACTACAGGACCGCCAGATAAAAAAAAACTGAATTGAATGAAAGACTCATTAAGCCTACCTGCTGCCGTGCTTTTGTTGACGTTGTTGCTTTGGCAAAAGTTGGCCAAGTAAATTGCCTCAATCATTTACCACAATTTGAAAAGGAGCTGAGCGGATCTGGGCCATGATAAAAGTTTCAAGCATACTCCAATGCCGATATAATTGTCTGTGTTAATTGAAAAAGTTGCTACTGCTGATGCAGCTGTTACTGCTGCTTAATTTGCATTAGTTTTCAAGTGGAACTGTGATTGGGCTCTCAAAGTGTCCTGTTTGGTAAGCACAAGCGAGTGCACACGAAGACAGCTGAATCACATTTGCCAGAATCCACTTGAAACATATCTAATCCCTGCATTGCCCTTCAAGCTGAACTCGACCGAAAGGACAGGACAGCAGTCCTTTGTATTTACCCATTGTTGTGTTGATTATTGGTTTTGGCGTATTAGTTGCCATTATGCATGTCCATAATATGCAATTAATTAATGTTCAATGCAAATTACAGTCTGCAATCTGCCGGGCTGCAACATCAATCAGTTTGAATGGAACCCATGCCCCAGCATCGGCTCGATATCAAGAAAACAAATTCCAAATGGAAAGTCTTACGTCTTAAGCAGCTGTTCAAAACTCTGCATAAATTATAATTGAATTAGCAGACGCAATTGAATCGATTTGATGCGAAAA